AGATATGATAATTAATTCTGGGAAAAAGCGAAATTATAAATCTCTACACGCTGTAAGACAAAAAATTTCAAACATACATTTTTTTTTTTAAATCAATTGACCTGCATGTTCATCACTCGGGGGTGGAAAATTGTCCTTAGTTTAATTTATAGATATTTCCTTCTTTGGAATACTTTCCCTTATCGCACGAGAAAGCCAAAAAGTGAGATTTACGGTGACATCGATTGCATGTAATGCATCGTTCGACGAATTCCAGAGGAGGTGATATATGCGGTGCTGGAGACTATTGTTTTCCCAGGACGGGCGGCGATGAAACTGAATATTCGCATCCATGCATTATGAGAGGGGTCACACACGCACACGCATACCCACGGCCCACATCGCTTTACACAAATTATCCAATCCAATGACGGATTGGTTTAACCGCGACAGTCTCCAATCAAAGATCGCTTGGCTTTTGACTCAACATTTCGAACCTTTGCGGATTGTTGCCCCCGTCCAAAACACTTCATGATTCGATACCTTTTATTGGACGATAAAAGAATGGGGAATTCAATTCATGCATGATCGACAAAGTCCTCCCGAGTCGGTAGTCACGACGCAGTGCGTTTCGTCTCGGGTGTTGCCGGGAACAATTACGAGGCTATGGTGCAAAACGTGACCACAATAGCCCATCAGTTCTTTCAACTTAATTTTCCTTAAAATACCAGCTCGAGGATACTATAAACTAACTGTACAACTTATCAAAACAATCAGTGTATAAAGAATCGTGGTTTTATATACGCTCTTGCGTCTCCTTCCTCCTTGAAATGATTGATCTATGCAGTTATCAGTTGGATTATTCAGATAGTGCAGTAGACAATGCAGGAAAGAGGCCGATTCTTAATAACCTCACATAACCAATGTTCTTCAAGTAAAATTAATAAACCTTTTGAAAAATTAAAAACCAAAATCCGACAAATGTTTTGGATGTTTATTTGTTAATTTATTTTAACGAATGTAATTTATTAGCACGAAAAGAAGGGGTTGTAATCCCACCACGAGGAATATCGAATACTCTGGATAAGTGTGTAGCGGCTAGAGAGTAAGTTATTAGCGAGAATAGACTAGGTTCCTCCGCACCCCCAGGAATATCGAAAACTCTGGGGGAGTATCTAAGACAATTTTTTTTACGAGGATTCGGAACAGCACAGGCCATATCAAACACCCTCAGGGTGACGGTGTTTTTGAAAAAAAGCCCATGTGTAAGGAGGTCGGGTTCGAAAGCAGGGCCGCTGGATTCGAACCCGGGACCTTTATCTTACAGTGATGAGCGCCATGTGCCTTAACCGTTGCGGCCATCGACGCCCCCGATTTCTCTTTTGTAATGGTTGTTGTGTTTATGTTGAAATGAACGCAATTTATTAGAGTGAAAGAAAGGGTGATTTAATCCCATTCCGAGTAATATCGACTAACTCTGGGTAAATGAATGTGACCAGACTTTTATGTTTGTATACATGTATTGCATGTTTTATGTCTATGATGTAGTTGACAACCTGAGGTAAAAATAAGAGGATAGAATATTACGATATCGACGACTACGATATCATTAACAGACTGAGTCGCTCAAATGGCTGCAGGCTGAAAATATGCGTGAAACACCAGAAACCATATAGAGGGTCGAGTCATGACGCGAAATACCTAAGCTCGTTTCTTCAAAGAGGTTGCCAATATCTTACAATAAGCATGGAGTAACAGATGGACACGCTCAAATAGTTGCTGGTTGAAAAATAGGCACGAAAGTTAAAAAAAATAAGTAAAAACGCGCGGAGGGCCGGCGAAGACAGCTGTTTATCGGCCCCTAAACTTTCCAAATTATAATTAAAAATTGACTCGCATTGATTACTTGCAAAACCGCTTTATTGAATGATAATAAATTATTTTACTAAGTATCCATCGACAGCAGCATAACAAAATTGTTATTTACTTAACATTTTAAAAAAGAAAAATTTGATATACGTCCGTTTTCTCACAGTTAAATGATAAATTATAAGAAAACGTCCTCCATGGTTATAATGGGAGACTAACAAGAAAAGGCTATAGACGTGGGATTTTTCATGATGCCAGGTCCAAAAATATTATACACGTCTCCGAGCGTTTTGCCAATGGCATCAAGAAAAAAAGAAACTTTTACAATATTTAAACGTAAGATAATAAAATAATACAAAACATCATATTAAATTATTAAGGGCAAAAAAATTCAATTTTTCAAAAAACCATTCGGGCTCGTATTAACCACCCTTGAATAACCTTAAACACGAATTTTCTTGTCAAACAAAAAATAGTTTTTGAGCTAGATTAGTCGAGGCAATTTTTTCTACGATCTCCCACTGTTTTATTTAAAAATTCATAACTCCTTTCGGTTTTATCCAAATTCCACGTTTTTAGAACCATTACAAAAGCAAATGTCTATTCTTTCAGCCTAGTTCAGAAACATTCATATTTTATGCTTTTAGGTGTCATTAAGTGATACAGATAGGATAAACAGAACAAAAACTCTCCAAACCCTTTATTTTATATCTCCGGTTCTGTTTATTTACGGAGCGCCCCCTCCTGTGATGTTTCGGGTTTTAAATAAGGACCAATTATATATTTGTCTGCAAGCTGAAATTAAAGGAAAAATTTTTGTTTTTACATAATTTTTACTTTTAATTGTTAGTAATCCATTATATTTCGTGGTCCGATTGAACAAATAACTTCTTTTAACTGATTAATCTTTGGATAGATTTAATAGGTAAAACGATGTATATCTTCACTAAAGCTCGCCGCGGCCATTTCATTTGTCGCCGAGAATCAAACAGATGACATGACATTAGAAAAATGGCAAAAAAGTGGGAAAATTCGAAAGGTGGATTGAGATGGGAAGTTGGTGTCCGAAGTCACGATAGCAGAGGAGCTGCGTATTTAGCCGAAGGTCGTGGGTTCGAATCCCAATCCTCTCCCTGACATTTTCATTTCAATCAATACCTTACATAAAGATTAATTAATTGAAATTACTAGTAATGTTCATACGGTATTTTATATAACAGCCCAATATTAAGAAAATACAAAATATTTTGGGGATTTTCCCCAAAATTGGAATTCACGATTTTTTCCATATATTTCAAATTTATTATATACCATTGTTGTTTGTTTTTAAAAATAGGATTAGAAAACAAGGCCTTATTAAATGAGATTAAATACATAATAAAACGTTACAAAAGCGAAAACACGAAAATAAAAAATTTAAAAAAAGGCTAATTTTACGTTAAAAAGGGTTAATTTGACGAACAAGAAGCTATAAATACAATTTTGACGTAAGGACCGAGTAAAATAGGTAAGAATATTTGTTCGCACGAAAAAGTTGATAATTCGTTTTTTGCGCCATGGAAAAGCCCTGATTACAATTTTTTGTTAAAATAAAAATATTTACACAAAAAAAAATATTTTTTTTAACGTGAAATTTTCGCTTTTGGGCTTTTTCGCCTGCGCTTGTTTTAGAATATTGCAAAAGTGATGATAATTTTTAAACAACTCAAGACATCCACCGGAAATATGACACGGGTTTGGAAACTTGTAAACTAATAGCCCAAACCAGAGCCGGAGATATAAAATAAATCGTTAATTTCATCCTTACATTTCTCACACATAATGATATAAAACCCAAAACCTGTTGACATAAACTCAACGAAAAGACATTCGGCTTACAAACGGTTGTAAAAATAATTTGCATAAAAGAGTTATGAATTTTGACTAGAAACACTGGGACATCGGAGAGAAATTAACTGCCCGGCTAATCTCGCTCAAAAAATATTATTTGTGTGACATGAAAATTCGTGTTTAAGGTTATTCAAGGGTGCTTAATACGAGCCTGAGTTTTTTTAAACCCTATTTTTTTGGCCTACTTTACTGAAGGCGTATTTTCGTTTTTGTAACTTTTTATATACGTAATCTCTGTTAATAGGAACTTTCATTTATTTTGTTATCTTAGGTTTAAAAAATCGAATATTATATTATAACCTAAATTACGTAGAGAAAAAAAGCCAAATTTATTTGTATTTTTATTATATTTATATTATTATATATAACTAACAATAATATATAAATAATAATAAACAATGTAAGTATATATTTGATTATATTTTTTTTTAATTTTTCTTTTTAGTTGGTTTACTTGGAAAGACTTCCCCAGGTTAATCAAGCTTAAAAATTTATATTTTTTGTTTGTAATGAAAATTCGCCTTTATAAGGATATTAAAGGGTGTTTAAAACCAATCTGATTTTGTTTTTCCAAGACCTAATTTTTTGTCATACTTTACTGTGAGCGACATTTTGTTTTGATCACTTTTTATGTACGTAATCTCATTTAATAATTTATATTTTTATTATTTTGTATATTTTCTTAGTTTTTATTCATTCCATCTTTTTAACTTATTATAATAGCACAAAATCGATAGCTATTTGACGAAACATGAAATTTCAAAATTTCGGATTTACAACGGTTGTAATTTGGTGGATATTGGATACAATTTTAACTATTTATGGATTTTTAATTGGCAGAAAGTATAGTTTTTTAGCCTTGATACCCAAAATGCCTGATTTTCATAAATAAAAATGGCTATTCCACTAACGACAAATCGGAATATTTGTCAATTTTAAATTGATAAAAAGACAAGAATGACAATTTACAAAAAAAAAAGTTAAACCCATTAAGCTATCATGTAGATTGTTTTGGTCGAAAATCAGCAAATCCTTTACCATGGAAAATTGACTTAAGGAACCTCAATCGAAAATATAAGAAGAGGTTAACAAAAAAATTTTTGTAACCAAAGAAAATCTTTCAAATTTGAGCGGAAACCCCCGTGAAGATTTGTCCAAAAATGCTGACTACTACGTTATACAAGCCAATTAGCGATTTTGAATTATTATTTTTAAAAAAATCAATGAGAAGTATAAAGCAAAACGGCAAACTAAGAACTTACGTCATTCCTTAAGGTCCTAACAGTGTTGTCGAGCTCGGGGCAGCTTGATTCTAAAACAGAAAATTTATGCAATTCTTTATTAAAGGCTTATTAAAACAGGTCAAAGAGAAATACAGTAAAATATAAACATATATCGTGACGTTATAGGAAGAACAATCAAAAATACAATGTATGATCTTCACACAAACTCATACAAAAGCTACAGACGTCATTCACGCCGTTCGATTAAAAATGAACTTCGAAAAAAGGTTTTTCGATCAGATCGCAGAGTTGTAAAAATGAATTTTACTTGTCAAGACACGTTGCAACCGTTTTTATCGATACCAATTACATAACGCGATAAGAACGTTTGTAAGGCGAAAGAGAGTTTTATGATGATGCGGGGATGAAGGTCACAGTATTTCAAAAGACTCGGTCTCCATCTGTCCTCTCTTTGCGCGAAATTGTGAATTAGAATGATAAAAAAAACTTATTACGAAAGGCAAGAGGTTGGATCAATTACTGAGAATGGGTGGGATCGTTTCACATCGGTTTTTACGTCTTTTGACATCATGAACTAGTCCTATGAAGAAAAAGAACGGCTGAAAATGCTTGGTACAAAACGAATGAAAATAATAAAATAAAAAAACGGTATTTTAAGAGAATATAATATATTGTAAGGAATGAGTAAATCGCAAGGCCATGGGCACTTTAGGATTCCCAGAATGCTCTGTGTTGTTTGGATAAAGGCAAAGTTTGGATAGCTCAAAGTGTGGGGGGGGATCTAAGTAACTCTTGTGCCCATATAAAGTCCCAAATTGTAGTAACACAGCATAGAGTAAGGATATTAGTAATGACGCAGTGTATACTCAATAGAGAATAGAACCAATGACGTCGCCTTGTGACCCACCCGTTTCGGCATAGTGAGCGGGGAGAAGGAATATCGAAAGCCTCACTTCTGCATATGGATGTACCTTTTAATATTATCTGGCAAAATTTTAGTAAGAGATAATAGGAGTACGAAAAACTTTGCGTTTCCTCAATTCTTGCCTAAAAGAACACCCGAGTACCATTCCTTCCGATCAAGGGACGATGTGATCATGACTACCACCCTGTGGCACTGATCAATGATAATGTTGGAGCTTTCAGAGATGGGATGCGGTTCAGGTGTTTTTCAAGGATTTTGTCAAGTAATGGCTGCATACTAATGGGTTGATATTACGTACGGATATTTTTAGGTTTTGAAATATGCACACAGTTCTAAATTAATGCTTGTTTTACAAAAATAATAAAAAGATCTATTCTAAAGAGAGCTATTATATTTATTTATTAATAATCAAGCAGTTGGGCACTTAGTGTCTGAATAGTATGGGTTTGTCTTGGGACCGGAAAGAAGGTCTTTTTCCCCCTTTTCGTCATTAAATAATAAATAGATTCATTTAACGACAAATGGCGGAAGCTGACCGAACAGTGACATGATTAGATACCGGCTGGATAGCAAAAGGGCGAAAATTAAATTAATCTTTTATTCCGGCTATCGCCGTTTGATTTTTTTAAATATCATTCCGAGCTGCCGTGTTTACAAAATAAAACAGGAAGTCGATTGTCGTGCGGGTAAAGGAACACACGAAATCGCACGTACGTGTTCGGCACAGGGCGATTGGATATTTTCACAACCGTTGACCTCGAACCCTAAAGACCAGCGTACTTACCTGCATACTTTCGTTATCAAACTCGGCGCTCCTTGAAAAACGGCTGCTCGAACATTTTCGACTAACTTCAGTACCGGAAGTGCGCGCGGATTCTCCGAAGCAAAACATATGGGCTGCGGAGTTGGGCCAATTAGAGAGAAAGGAGCATTTCTCAACATCCCTAACATTGCATAATGGTGTTTTAGTCTCGGCGGTTCGAATTAGACCGCAGTGCACTTTTAAAAAAACGGAATTACGTGGCATCAGGATTTTGAAACTTTTAAAACATTCTTATTTAATTCGTTGTTCCTATCTTGTACAAAAAATGCGTCTTTAAAATGTGTACATTATTGTTATCTACGCCTGGAGGGCGCAGGTTACGAGAAAGCAGCCACCGCTGGTAGTCAACATGAGGGATTAAGGTCTCAAGGCCTTATTTAAATTGAAGTTCAACTTGCTGCCTTCGTATAGAAATTTGATGCAAAGTCAATGGCACCTCCTTTCTTTGCGATTACAACTACTACTTGCGCGATATCGCATCCCTCGCAGTTTAACCTGGTCGCACCTTGATCCAAGGAAATTCAATAGCAGCTTTCTTTGCGATTTCAGCTTTAACTCGCGTCATCTCACGTTAATGCTCAAAGTGTAAACAGGTCGTACCTACGCTCCCTTCTTCACGATTTCAGACACATTGATAACAGGAGGTTCTGCCGGACCATATTTATGAAGTGAGCCTATTCTCGGTTCAGCGCCTATATACAGCCAACAAGAACAAACACCACAGAATGGATCCAAAAAAAGACAAAAGGTGAAGTTTATAAACTCTACAGTTGCTAGACACAGTAAGCTTATGTTAACCTTTTCTTTCCCAATGTTGCTTCAGAGCAATGCCAATGCGGGAAATCCCGTAGTTTAGAGAGGGCGCAGTGTTGTTCTGTTCTATTATTGCTCGTGTATTGGCAACACTGATTTTTTGGCGCTAATCTAAAATCTCTGTTACTAAATTCATGGGATTTACAAAATTGCTCAAGTTCGTCTTGATCTAAGACATTAGGCCATAAATTGTTTAAAACGACCCTCACCAAGAATTGTAAATTCATTGCTATGGTATAGAGATCTAAAATCGGAGAAGTTATATTACTACACGAGGTGTTTTGTAGATGGCCCGGCTGAATTTGTCTTGAACCAATGACGCTATCAAAAAACCAAAAAATCGTATTTAATATGTTTTAGTCTAGTTTCAAATTTTTACACTTCTTTGGAGAAAAATTTGTACATACTTAGACCCAGATCAACTTGAAAATTTAAAATTCGACTCTACACATCTTGAAATATCATTTTAAAGGATTTTTTACGCTGAAAACAATGGTGCAATCGGATTTTAAATCGGTCAAAAAATGAGAAAGTTCACCCATAACATCTTCGAATGCGAAGCAACCACCCAATGGAGATATACCCTGGATACAAAGAAAACTAAGGGAAAGGAATTGTACCGACCAATTACCTAGTACTCCTGAGAGGAAGGATCGAGTCGACTTCACTGAACTAAGGAGCTAAGAAGAAAGTACAAGAAACCAGAAGGCTGCAGTGTTTGGAGAACATAACCTCACTTCCTTGTTCCCTTCCATCGCAATCATCATCATCAACTTCCAAGACATTCTGGCTTGTACGATACGTTCCTTTTAATGATAGGGAAGACAATAAGTAAGACTGCTGTAGTACTTTTGGAACAAAAATCACCGACTTTTTTCGCATCGCAAATTGTTCACACTTGTGCGCTTTCGCTGTCATTTCCTTCTTCACTGTGGCAACGGGAAATGGCGCGTAACACTAGAAAATAATAAAGAGGATTTTTTCTGACATTGCTATTCGTCTTATTAAAATTGAAACGAGGGCAGGACGATAGACAACCCTTCTAACAATTAAGAATTTCCCTTCCGTCGCGGGCTTCATATCCCAGATGGAAAAAGTGCGCCGGGAAGATTTCGTTAAATTTAATTAAAACGGGTGTTTTTGTACAGTGGAAGTAATATTTGCCCCGAAAAGAGCTTCGGGGCAGAAGTTTGGGCGGTAATAATTCCTTTAATCAAAACAAGAGTGAGTGAAGATGGGCATAATTAGTGGAATGGCTGGTGGATTTATCCGCAGGCGAGTGTCGGGAATTGAGGCCATTATAGCCGTGGCCGTATCATTTTATACGCTGTAAATTGTCAGCGTAATAGTGGAGAGGATGGTGGAATGCATGCTTTTAATATTGAGGTGGCACGCAGCCCCCTCGTCGCCGCCTCCCCTTTTTCAACGGCCCCCCAGTCGCCTCTGGCCCTTTTCCCCCCAATAGTTTCCCTCAAAACACGTCCCAAGTTTTGGTAAATTAACACAAAACAAAGTTTGTTTAAACATCTTCTATTCAATACCATGATGGGTTTTCCAATTTGTTAAAAGTTAATAGGTGGAGGGTGACGATCGTTCCAACCCTGCCTCCCTAGAGATTTAGCATTACGTAAACCGTCTCGACTTAGCTTAGTCCATTATCAATATTGAACCTCGAATCAGAGATTGTTTATACAAAACTTCGTAGTCCAGCGGTCAGGGTCTTATGCTTGCCTTTTATTTTTCTCCCTCTTCAATCAAAACGTCATTAAAACTGAAAAAGACATTAAACAAATTCGCGTATATTAAAGTATAAATCGGTTAGATCGTCAGATTAGATTTATGTATTCGTTACAGGAAACAAATCAAAATGGAGATACGTTCGTTTTTAACCGAGGCGAACTTGTTTTTAACAACACTTTCATCTGTCACGCAAGTCAAGTTTTACCAGTCAAGACTTTTGTCCATTTCACAGCCCTGAAAGCAAATAAATTTCCAACTAAGGAACACATACATAGTCGTATGCCGGGTGCCCCGTGAGCAAACGTCAATACTTCAGAAGGTTATTCTACAAGTCAAATCGGACTTAACAGTTTCTATTGTTTAGTAAGATTTCTAATTGTATTCGAGATATTTCACGTTACAGATTACTTCAAACTTTCGCAACTTTATTCCATAAAGTTCAGCATACCTCATAAAATGTTAACCCTACTGTGAATTTGATTAGGCCGATGGAAAGAACATTGAAAACCCAATTAGATTTACTTTTCTTATTGTACTTACAACATAAATTTTTACGAGTTTCATGTCTAAAGTTTAAGTAAGACTCCCTATGTTCTGTAAATACTGACACAAATGCCGCTTAAAGAAACGTTGCCCCTTCTGACGAGCACATGTACGTAATTTTTAAAAATTCAGTTATCACCAATGTAAAATTAACGTTTAATTGGTAAAAAATTAATTTTTGGGTACAATCGGCTTAAAAATATTAGTCAACTATTTTATTTTTG